TGCGGGGCGTTCCCTGCGGGGCGTTCCTCATTACCGGGAGGAAGGGGCGTGGCTGCAATTAGTCATCATCATTCTACAAGAGGATCGCCTCGATCACCGTCATTGCTTTTCGCCCGTTTTTGAAGAGGAAGTGTCTGTGTCATTAGCACCTTCACGCCAGGCGCGCCTTATTTCGGTCCTCATTATAAGGGAGTGAGAGGGAAGGAGAGCAGAGGGGGGAAGGAAGAGAAAGAGAGAGAGAGAGAGAGAGAGAGGCCCACAGCGTAGGCAGCCCACCCAGGCAGGGCGTCGGGCGGGACGGCCTACCCAGCCGCGCGCCCACAGCGTAGGCAGCCCGCCCAGGCAGGGTGACGGGCGGGACGGCCTACCCAGCACGGCGCTCTGCGCTGCTGGAGGAGCGGCCCTTATGCCGGAGGCCGGAGGGGCTGCTTTGCTCGCGAGTGCCGGGGGCCAGTGGCGGGGGGAAGGTAGGGTCCGCTCTCATCCAATCCACTCAGGACGTACATCGTATCGCTCGCATGACGACGCGAGTCGCGGGTGTGCACCTGCTGAGCCGCCTGTAACCCGCGTCGCCATACGGTTGTGGTTGGGTTGGGCGCCCGCAAGGTGTCGCGGCAGGAACTCGAAAACTCGGACACAAAATAATAAAAAAGAGCCCACGCTCTCGAAAGCGGGCGCTTTAATTCTTCTTCCTGCTTGGACGGTAAACTTTATGGTCATGGAAGAAGAAGAGGCCACAACATCCACCCACAGCGTGTCTCTTCGGGGGGTCTGGAGTCCGGCACGGCACACAATGTAGCAGGCAAATAACCAAACGGGAGTGCAACTTGTCCCCCCCTCTCTCCCCCTTTCATAATGTTATGGCTGTATGAAATTCTGCAAGCCTTATGCACAACAAAGTGAATAAGGATTTAGTGTGCAGTATTTCACCTTTTTACCTTTGAAAACAATAAAGTAGTGTTTAAGAAATGACACTTTCTTTCCGCTGGTAAAACAAGTGTTTAATTTTGCACGTCAATTGACGTTTAAGTTCAAGTGTGCATTTTCTCGACACTTAGTGGTGTCTACTTATGTTATACGTCAATTGGTGTTTAAACTTGACCGCTTTCGACACTTCCGAAACGTATAGCAGCTGCACACGCACACCGTATGGTTCCATATTGACAGCATACAACTGTGTGACCAAGTGTGCAGAATTTAAATGTTTACAAAACGTCTAAAATTTGCACACCACGCAAGTGTGCAACTTGAGTTAAACACCATGTAACGTGCAAAATCACAACTTGCACACGTTTGGTGTGCAAATATTGCACACTTGTTTTACAAGTGTGGGACCCGCGAACGGAGTATTATGTTAGTTATTGGCGAACCGTCGGTGTGATCTTAGGTGTATTCAGCTAGAGATAAGTCCAGGTGTAGCTTCACAAAGGAA